GTCTAAGAATTAAGCTGACATGAGACAGATAAACAAGAGAAAAACAAAAGTTTAATAACATATGTACACGGGAGCAACCCAGGAAAACTGAGTAACTCGCCAAAACGGCAGAAGCCCTCACCTTAAATGTTATCCTCAGCTAAAGACAAAAGATGTTGGGGGTGGGGAGAGTCAGGGACTTCAAAGGGAAGGAAGGCGATTCACAGGTAGGTGAGAAGGAGCAAACGTTTGGAAAACAAGTGTTGGGCCACAAGAAACAGAAGAGCACAGAGGGGAGCCCAACAAACAGGCTTTTCTAGATTCCTCTCTGTCTACCACCCAGTTCATGTTATGCTAAGGTGACAGCTCGCTTCCTGAGACAGCCTTTTTTATCTGAATTCTTTTAGGCAGTTAAGGGGGAGGTAACAAGAAAAACTTTCTGAGTCTTTTGTTTCTTAAAAATAATCAGCTTAAAATAATCCTCACGTTAAAGAGATACATTTGGGGAGACAAATTTTGCTCCCCTTCAGTACACTCTATGATGTTGGCACAATGATGAAATTGTCCAACTACACATTTCTCAGAAGGTGTCCCCACCTTTAAGGGACGCATAACTGTGCTCACACACACCTAGACGGCCTCGCCTACTACACACCTAGGCTATATGGTACAGGCCATTGCTCCTCGGCTACAAACCTGTACAACGCATTACTGCACTGAATACCGTAGGCCACTGTAACACGATGGTAAGTATCTGTGTATCTGAACCATGGTAAGTGTACAGGGCACTTACCATGAAGGGAGCTTGCAGGATGGAAGTTGCTCTGAGTCAGTGAGTGAGTGGGGAGTGAATGTGAAGGCCTAGGGCACTACTGGACACTGCTGTAGGCTTTATAAACACTGTACACTTAGGCTGCACTAAATTTATAAAAAATATTTTTCTTTCTTTATATCTTTATTCTATAAGCTTTTTTCTATTTTTAAATTTTTTTTTTCCTTTTTAAATTTGTTTGTTAAAAACTAAGACAAACAGACACCTTAGCTTAGGTCTACACAGAGTCAGGATCATCAATATCACTGTCTTCGCCTCCTCATCTCGTCCCACTGGAAGGTCTTCAGAGCAATGACACGCGTGGAGCTGTCATCTCCAGTGATAACAATGCCTTCCGGAATTCCTCCTGACGGACCTGCCTGAGGCTCATCTTGAGGAGGTGTCACTCTTTTCAGAAATACGTCCACGGTGTTTTGCTTGGTTTGTTTTTTCCATCACAGATTTGCTTGTAAGCAGCTAATGCACCATGAACGTTCCTCTCCATTAACTGAAAACCTTTTGGTGTTGGGGTCCGTGTTTTCAAACTTTTTGAGGAGCTTGTTGAGGTCTGCAAAAGCTTCTGCTAAACCCTTCACTATGAATTTTCTTGGGGGTTCTTCTTTTTCTTCTGCAGTTTCCTTTTCTCTCGCCTCTTCTTCAGCTATGTGTTCCTGTTCCAGTTCCAACAGCTCCTCGTTAGTCAGTTCCTCAGGAACCCCCTTCAGGAGCTCCTCAATGTCATCCTCGTCCACACCCAGGTTAAAGTTGTTTGCCATCTCAACCTCAGCCTTGTTGATTTTTGCAACCTCCTCATCCTTGGCAAATCCTTTGAAGTCATGGACGAACCTCTCGAGTGTCTTCTTCCAGATGCCATTCACGATGCCATTCATATACTCCTTGGTGACATCACCCCAAGCCCAAGCAAGGTCCTTGATGCAGTCACAGATGTTGTAATCCTTCCAGAACTGCATCAGTGTCTTCCTCAGTTGCAGCCATAGCCTGGGCAAAGGTCATCCTCAGGTCGTAGGCCTTAAAAGCTGCTATAACTCTTCAATCCATTGGTTGGATCAAAGAGGTGGTGTTTGGAGGGAGAAATATCACTTTGATATTGGGATGAAGATCACCAATAAAAGGAGGATGTCCAGGAGCATTATCAACAACAAGCAAAATTTTGAAATGTATGTTATTCTCCAAACAGCACTTCTCTGTTTCACTGGCACAGCAATTCAGGAGGGCTTCTTGGAAGAGGAGCTGGGTCATCCGTGACTTCTTATTGTTCCTGTAGACACTGGCAGTGTGTGCTGATTGATGTGCTTGAAGGCCCTGGGGTTCTCACTGTGCCAGATAACAAAGGGTTTCAATTTGTAGCCTGCAACATTGCCCTCAAGCAAGACTGTTATCCTGTCCTTAAAAGACTTGAAACCTGGCATTGACTTGGCCTCCTTATGGATGAAAGTCCTCTCAGGCATCCATTTCCAGAATAGGGAGATTTCATCCTTATTGAATATTTGCTCTGGCAAGTAATTTTCCTCCACAATTAGCTTATCCAGTCTCCAAAAATTCTTCAGCTGCCTTCACATCAGCACTCACAGACTCACCACTCACTTTCACATTACGTAATGAATAATGATTCTTGAATTGTTTAAACTACTCAGAGCTAGCAGTATATTCAACATCGTAGTCAGGTCCAGCCTTTTCTTTCAACATTGTAAACAAACTTTTTGCTTTGGCCGTGATTTTCACGGTGCTGAGAGGGATACGCTTCTGTGTCTGGTCTTCAGTCCAGGTCATTAGAAGTTTCTCCATGTCTGACATAGGCCCTTCTCCAAATTTTTGTTAGTCTCCCTGCCTTCAATGAAGCAGATCATTTAACAGCTGCTGTCACTTTGTTCTTGTTCTGCAAGATCGTAGCTGTGGTGGATGGGACATGCCTGACTGGTGAGCAATAACCATCACTGATTTTCCATCTTCATAGCCCTTAATCACTTTTCATTTCATTTCTAGGTCAATCACTTAATGTGGCCTCTTACTGACAACATTAGTAGTGGATTTTGTATGCTTAGGGGCCATGATGAACAAAACAACACAAGATTAAATCAAGCACAAGAGAAAATTACACAATCAAGAGATGCGGTAAACATGAGATTTATGAGGCTGCTGCTGGCGTAAAAAAGCATACTGTTTTACACTAAACTTTTTTTTAAAATAGAAAGAGTACACTATAAAATAGCAATAAAATGGGGCTGGCCCCGTGGCCTAGGGGTTAAGTTTGGTGCACTCTGCTTTGGTGGCCTGGGTTCAGATCCTGGGCGCGGACATACACCACTCGTTGGTGGCCGTGCTGTGGCAGCGACCCACATACAAAATACAGGAAGATGGGCACAGACGTTAGCTCAGGGTGAATCCTCCTCAGCAAAAAAAAAATAAAATAAAATAACATAACAGTAAAAAGCATAGTAAATACATAAACCAGTAACATAATTGTTATCATTATCAAGTATTACGTACTGTACATAATTGTATTTGCTATAGTTTTTTGGTGTGTGAGAAAAATTAGCCCTGAGCTAACGTCCATTGCCGATCCTCCTCTTTTTGCTGAGGAAGACTGGCCCTGGGCTAACATCCATGCCCATCTTCCTCTACTTTATATGTGGGATGCCTGCCACGGCATGGCTTGATGAGTGGTGCATAGGTCCACAGCCGGGATCCAAACCTGCGAACCCTGGGCCACCGAAGTGGAGCACGTGAACTCAACCGCTATGCCACCAGGCCAGCCCCATGGATGTGCTATACTTTTATACAACTGGCAGTGCAGTAGGTTTGTTCACATCAGCATCACCACAAACATGTGAATAATGCATTGCACTATGATGTTACAGAAGCTGTGACATCACCAGGCAATAGGAATTTTTCAGCTCCATCATAAGCTTATGGGCCCACCGTTGTATATGCAGTCTGCCATTGACTGAAATATCGTTATTCAGAGCATGACTGTATACGTGTGTGTGTGTGTGTGTGTGTGTGTGTATCCAGAAGGTAATCCAGGATATAAATACAATAATACAATATATATGTGTATATATAAATACAATATATATACATATATATACACACATATGCATGTATATGTACACATATGTCTGTCTAAAGCAGCATAATTTAATTTTGACATATACAGTATATATACACACGTATGTATATATGTGTATATATATCACAAAATTAAATTATATGCCTGCTTTTCTTTCAGGCAATGGTCTCCACCTTTCACTTCCTGTAAATGCTTATCTCATATTCCTCATATCCAAATTCCCTCAGTTGACCTGAAAATATCCTCTAGAGCTGAACTGTCCAAACGAGCTTCTCCTCCAGGACCACAGACTACATCTGGTCGTGCCTCTTAGGTCTGTTTCAACCTGTCACAACCGCCTTTATTGATACTGACAAAGTACGCCACCGCTGGTGTGTCAGGCCACTCCTCTGCTGGCGCTTGGCCTGCTCTCCCCGTGCTTCCCATACACTGAAGGTGGGCTGAAGGCCCGACCTGCCAAAGTGAGGCCATTCAGGGTGGCATACATTAAAGGCAAGGGCACACTTCCTTTGCATCCCTCGGGAGCCCTAGAACATCTCATCAATCCACCAGCAGTGAGGCTGGCCATGACCCCTGGGTTGGGGTGAGGACAGCCTGATCCTGCCTTCGCATGGTTCCATCTCACCCTCACGACTAGAAAGTCATGATTGTGGTGTCACTGTGACATGTACCCATATGCACCGTTTGCCTCGTGTCTTTTATTTTTTTTGGTGAGGAAGATCACCCGTGAGCTAACATCCATGCCAATCTTCCTCTATTTTGTATGTGGGTCGCTGCCACAGCATGGCCAACGAGTGCTGTAGGTCTGCAGCTGGGATCTGAACCCGCAAACCCAGGCCGCCGAAGTGGAGCATGTGAACTTAACCACTACGCCACGGGGCCGGACCCTGCCTCACTCTTTTAACCCTGATTGATAATCTTTGTCTGAATTGATGATTTCCTCAGGACTTAGGAAATACTGTTCTAACTCTTCCACTCTTTCTACTGTAAAACACCTTTTATTGCTGTTTCCTTCTGTAGGGTTTTCCCTCCTTAACTGGGACAATTTGTTACTCTCAACCAAGCAGTAACCAAGGCAGTAACACTGTATTTCTATTAAAAAGATCTAAGGCACTTTTTGCAAAATAATAAATTTATTGCATATGATTGGCAGACAGATGTTGCTAATAATTATTCTCTCAATATTTGAAAAAAAATCAAAATAAAATCATCTCATACACCACACAATTACAGAGGTCCTTGAGGATCAAGGTTGGGCTCAGGGGATCACCTCACTTTTCAGAGAAGTCAGAGCAGGCAGAATCATCTATCTCCAAACACTTTTTTAGCTAGCTGGCTTTCAGCTGCGAGAAGTGGTCCCAGCCTCGAAGTCTCAGGAGGTTAAGTTCACCACCCAAGGGGGCTGGAATTTTCCCAGCCATAAGGATGAGATGCTAGTTCAGAGATGGAGAGAGGGCTTCCTTGAAGGGACCGAGAAAGCCCCTGAAGCAGAACTAGGAGACAAGGGCAGAGGGGACTGGGGCTGAACCAGAGGGCCTCCAGGGCAACAGCCAGGGGTCCTCTGCGGGACCAGCATTCCCCTGTGCTCACCTGTGGTCTCCACTCAGTAGAACAGGGGCTCCCCTAGAGCAGCCAGCAGTAGGTAGATCTGATGGAGGAACTTTCTAGCAGTTTCTGGAACCCAAAGAGGGGGTCTAGCAGGACCCTCCACTGGACCCAGGATTCCCAGGATGCCAGGGAGGTACAAGGCCTTGGTTAATGAGAAGTCCCGGCCAATGGTCCCAGCTCCTGGAAGGCACAGTCAGCTTGTGGTGCAAGGATAGCCCTCGACTAGGACAGCCGGACCCGCACGATCACGCTGGAGTTGGTCACACGGGCTCCATAGTGGCCGGCCCAGAACTGCGTGTCCTGGCCCCAGTGTTCAAAGGACACGAAGCGGACGCCCATCTTGATGTTGGAGAACACGTGGGTGACCTGTAGGTAGAGGAACGGGTCAGCCCCGTTGTGCCACAGCCTTCCCCTCATAAGCTGAGGTGGGGGCCTTCTGGCAGATGGTATCTCCCATAGACGGCCTCAACAACGTCTATAGTACCACATGTTCTTCTAGAATCATACCACTCCGCATCAAGAAGTGGAGCCTAATTCCTGTCCCCCTGATTCTGGGCAGGTTTGCTTGTACCAAGAGTGTGGTGGAAGCGATGCTAAGCGGCTTTTACCAAGTGATTTCCAAAGCTACATCAGAAAAGGCAATGTAGCTTCTGCCAGTTTTTCTAGAACCCTCATGATTTCCCTAGAATCCTCAGGGTGGTGCCACCATGTGAGCAGTCTGACCGCCCTGAGGCCACCATGCCGTGAGGAAGTGCAAAGTAGCCCAAGCAGAGATCCCCTGGTCAAGCTCTGAGACTAAATGAAGAGATGCTTGGCAAGCCACCAGCTGCTGTACGTGCACACACATACACACACACACCCTGCTATTCAGCTCCAGCCACTGTCTTAACGCAACTAGGGAGCTGGGCCCTTCTCGTAGAAACCACAGAGAGAGGCAATAACATGACTGCTGTTGATGGTAAACCACTAAGTTTTGGGGTGATTCATCATGCAGCAATAGAGAACCATCACAGGCCCCCAGCATCCTTTCCCCACGCCCCCATTAGAAGCTCACCTGAAGACAAGCATTGTTGTTCCACTGCTGGATGGGATCAGGCATAGCAGAGAATTTATCCAGGACGGTCTGGTTGGCATCTAGAAGTTGGACAAGGAGTCGATACATACAGCCGCTGTCATGTCGGGCTCCCCACCTGTGGGAGGAGGGAGGCCTTGAAGGCAGGACCTGCCACCCCATCTCTTTGAGTGCCGACCCCACCTGAACGGCCTCCCTGTGTACACAAATCCAAAGTGTGGTCCTCAGACTAGCACCATCAGCATCCCCTGGGAGCTCGGCCCCACCGCATACCCAGAGAATCAGGGTCTGCATTTAACAAGCTCCCCAGCTGGGCTGCATGCACACTCATTTTAGAAGCAATGACCTAGAGCAGGGCTCTTCAAGGTACTTCCTCCCATATTATTAAGGTGACAATTAAAATTTCTCATTCTATGTTTAAATGGTGGCCAAAGATGTAATTTCTAATATGTATAATGTTGACATTTTAAAATACAACTTTCATATCAGTCATTTAAAAAGATCTAGGGGAATCTAAATAAATTGGTGATGGAATATCCAGCAACATTAAAACAACAACAACATCCAATGCCCATCGATGGTAAATGGATAAATTATGGTATATTCACATAATAGAATACTATACAGCAATGAAAGTAAATTATAGCTACATACAATTATGGATGAATCCACAAACATGTTATTTAGTGAAAGAAGCGAGATACAAAATATATACTGATATATACTGTATGACTCCACATATATATATGTATATATATGTGTGTACACATATATATATATAGTACAAAAATGAACAAAACTTATCTGTGGTAACAAAATTCATAATGCTAGCTACCCTTGGGTGGGTAGCAGTGGGAAAGGGGCATAAGGGATGCTAGAGGAAGGGTTTTCTGGCAACATTCTGTTCTCAACCTGGGGGCAGGTAATGTGAATGTGTTCACTTTATGACAATTTGTTGAGTTGCACACCTAAGATATGTGCACTTTTTGGGCCGGCCCGGTGGCGTAGTGGTTAAGTTCACAAACTCCACCTTGGTGGCCTGTGGTTCGCAGGTTCGGATCCCGGGCGTGGACCTACACACCGCTTATCAAGCCATGCTGTGGCAGGCATCCCACATACAAAGTAGAGGAAGATGGGCACGGATGTTAGCCCGGGGCCAATCTTCCTCAGCAAAAAGAGGAGGATTGGCAACAAAGGTTAGCTCAGGGCTAATCTTCCTCTCACACACACAAAATATATATTTTTGTGCACTTTTGATGCTAGAAATTAAAATTTAGAAACTTAAGAGTAATGCGCAGTAAAAATACACGAACGAGTATCTTCTTTTACAGAGACTTCACATCATTCCACTTCTTGGAATTAGATGTCCATTCCACTTCTCCCACAGAATTCTGTCCTAATGTAATATTAATATATTTTTATGTTCTTCTGACTTTTATTGACTACCCGTTCATATTGCTCTGTGCCAACCACACACAAAAAAAAGAATATAAATAGAAATTTAAAACTCTTCCTGTGATCACAAAGCTCTAAGTGTTAACATTTTTTCTTTTGGATTGAATTATTACCCCCTAATGGTTTCCAGACTTTGCTGCAGATTGGAATCATCTGGAATGTTGAAAAGACATTGTGTAGAAAAGAATTTAGCTTTGTCCAAAGGTATGGTCTTTGCCTTCCACTTCTGGGACGTAATCTCTGGACCCTCCGACTATTATGCATGACGAGAGCATTTTTGTTTGCTTGGGATTCTTGGGTCATACTGGGCAGCCTACCAACGTGATTTGGTGGAGGCTGGCCACATCCATATACACAGCCTCGTGATGGGGGCTAGCCACTCCAGAAAGACCTACAATGTGACTTAGGACGCACCGCACAATATCAGTTGACCTGGAGGCTGAGATTAACTAAGTGATGAAGCCCCAGTAAACACTCTGGACACCGAAGCTCAGGTGAGCTTCCTTGGTTGGCGAGATTCCATGCGTACTGTCACACATGGATGCTGGGACAATAATGCGTCCTGACTCCCCAGGGAGAGGACAAGGGAAGCTCCACGTTGGTAGTTCCTCTGGATGCTGTGCTATGCTCTTCTTCTCTTGACTGATTTTAATCTGTATCTTTTCCCTGTAATACACTATACTCGTAAAATAGTTTTCAGTGGGTTCTGTGAGTCTTTCTAGTGAATTACTGAACCTGAGAGTGGTTTTGGGAATCTCTCAAACTTGCAGTTGGTGTCAGAGGTGAGGGTGGTCTTGGGGATTGTGTCCTCTAACTTTGTGGTTGGCTCTAAACTTCTCATAGACATGGATGCCTGGCTCTCACCCTCACTGATTTAATTCGTTTGGAGTGTGACCTGGGCATTGGGAGTTTTAAATGTTCCTGGGTGACGTACAGCAAAATTTGGGCACCACAGACTATTGCAATCAAATGGTATACCATTGATCAAACCAACACAAATACATTACAATAGTTTGATAAATAATGATTAAATTAAAATAAAATTGTATTGTAAGTACACCTCCCAATGAGATGGATTTACAGAGCAGGGAAGGTTATGGTGCCTTGATTAAAAGTGAATTTGCTAAGGCCAAAATTTCAAATGGTCACTGTGCCTGGCTCTCCAGTAGTCTTTATATCTGGAGACCACACACCATAGTGAGGGGCTTTCTTTTTGTGTAAAACTGGAGAACTGTGAGAAAGGGATTGGGAAAGGATAACCATACGATACTCTTACCATAAGTGTGGTCTGTAGCTGACTAATTTTAGAATAGGGACCATATAGCTGTAGAGGATCTGGAATTTGCTTCCCTTAAAATTATCTGGGTTGTGTATCCCTTGGGAAGTCTTCACATACCCCAGTTTCAAGACCATCACCACAGAGCACAAGATCTGAAGTTGGACAAGTCTGAGCCTAATGCCAGGTCCTTCCAAGCTCTAGCTGTGCCACCAGGGCAAGTCACTTTCCCTTTCTGAACCTCTCAATTTACTGTGAAGCTCTGAAAGACCTGAGGTCTTGAAACACACTTTTCCAGGGGATCAAGGTTCAAAAAGTGTACTAAAACAGCTCATACTTATAAAGCACTAGCTATGTGCTTGACATGTAACCCCACCTTATAAAGATGGGGAAATTGAGACACACTGTGACTTGCCCAATGCCACAGAGCTGCAGAGCCAGGGTTTGAACCTGTGAGGTCTGGCTCCAGAATCTGGACTCTTAGCCAACTATACTATATTGCCACCTTCTAAGATAAGGAGCATCTCATGCACAGACAAGACTGAGCTGGGTGCAAGTCCTCTGTATTGGATCCAATCCAGCATCTTTCAATCCAGCTCTCTTTGGGGGCGGGGAGAGGGGTTCAGGGTGTGTACTCTGCTAATCACTAGGATTCACGCTGGTGATTAAGCCATTCACCTCCACGAGCTTCAGTTTCTTCACCAGTTGCCAGGAAGCCTCAATGAAGTCACCCATGCAAACAAAGGTCATGGCGCATGTGGTCAGTGCTTAGCAAAGGGCTGTTTCTATCACCACACTCACCAGTCAGAGACACAAATCTCAATCTTGCCACTATCCAGCAGTTCTGGCCACAAACCCTCCTCCTCCAGGTCCAAGACCTGCTTCTTGCGACACCAGCTGGGAAAGAGCGAGAAGGGTCAATGAGAACAGGCAACTCCTCCTCAAAACGGCCCTGCCCGTTGCGGGGGGGTTAGGGCATTCACCTGAAGGAAGACACGAAGCAGGTCTGTGAAGGAGCCCCAGGCACGGTGGACTTGTTTTCTTCCACCACCCAGCCATCCCCACCGTGCTGCACCATCCATTTCCGGAGGCCTTCTGTTAAATAAA